AAACTTCTAACAAGTTGGGCAGAGCTAAAGTACCATCATCATCATCCCTCCATTACCTAGCATCTATATTCTTTGCAATAAGTTGCCATTGCTTTTCATAAAAATGTATTGGAAAGAATCTGTCAGAATAGTAGTGGCTGGGGCCGGCCCGGTGGCGCACTGGATAGTGCGCCGCTTGGGAAGCGCGGCGGCGCATGCCGCCCGAGGGTTCGGATCCCACATACAGACCGGCTCCCGCTCACTGGCTGAGCGAGGCGCGGGAGCAACACCGAGGTTTGCAATCCCGTTGCCGGTCCCTGGTCCGGTATGGGGGCAACACTGAGGGTTGCGATCTGTTGCCGGACACGGAAAAAAAGACAAAAAAAAATAAAAATAAAAATAAAAAATAAAAAAAGTTATGGAAAAAATAGAGTTGAAAGGTAATATGGAACTTTTCATGAACTTTTTGAAGACCTCTGTGTGTGTGTGTGTGTGTGTGTATATATATATATATTCATATATATATGGTATTTAAACATTGACCAGCACATCACTGGGGAGTGGTCATCTCAGTTCAGTGTGCCATGTTGTCAAAACTGCTCTCCAGACTCTATAAACTTTAACTTTCAGATAAATCTAATACCAACAGCTAAAATGCACTTGAAATACCTAGGCATTCTAATGTTGTACATTATGTAAGAAAATCTCTGCCTCAATTCCAGTTCCTTCCCTTTACAGAGCATGCTGTATGCACCATGCAGGCTTTTTAAAAAAAAAAAAAAAAAAAAAAAAAAAAAAAAAAAAAAAAAAAAAAAAAAAAAAAGAATAGTAGTGGCTGTTTCTTTTTGTGAAAGTAGTTTTTTGCTATCATTTAATTTTGTCTTCTTGTCCTTGAACTATATGAAACCCAAAAAGATGTTTATCACCCTTATTATTACTACCATGATAGCTACCAAAACCTAAAGCATCAGTTTAGCAGAATAGAGATTCAAGAAATATAACCATGCACCTATGGTTAATTGATAATTTGACCAAGATACAAAGGCAATTAAATGGAGAAAGTATAGTCTTTTCAACAAACTGTGCAGGAGCAATTGGAAATTAATATGTTTAAAAAAAAGTACCTCAACCCATACCTCAAAATGTATCATAGCTGTAAATATAAGACCTAAAACTAAAACAACTGAAGAAACCATAGGAAACATTTTTGTGACTTTGGGTTAGGCAAAGATGTTTCAGATACAATGCTAAAAGATGGATACATTTCAATTACCGAATTAATTCTAAACTCTTATTAAAAGAGCTTTTAGCTTAGCAGTTATGGTGTGTTCTAGAGAGGCTCTTCTTGAAATTCTGATCAGGCTTTTCCCTCCCTTTTCAGGGAAAAACTGAAGCTATATGAAGTTATCTGTCTTGGAGGCTGGGCAATCTGCTCCTCAGTCCCTCACCACATCTCTGCCACTGGTTTATGCATCTATCCATTGGCCTCGTGGCCTTGACTGTATCTCTTGGCTTTGTCCTTTTAAGCTTTGGCTCCTGCTGCTGCCTAATTATTTCTCCACTTTCCAAGTTAGACTACCAGGAGAGGGAACCTGATTGGCCCAGATTATTATTTTTTTATTTTGGTTATTATTTATTTATTTATTTTTGGTGGCTGGCTGGTATGGGGACCCATACTCATGACCTTAATGTCATAAGGTTGTGCTCTAACCAGCTGAGCTAATTGTCAGCTGATGGAGTTTGGATGTGTTGTCCCCTCCAAAACTCATGTGAAAATTTGATCTCCAATGTGGCAGTGTTGGAAACTGATTATGTCATGGGGGCGGATCCCTCATGAATGGATTAATGCTCTCCTTGGGGGAGGAGGAGTAGTGGGTGAGTTCTCGGGTCTGTGAGTGCACCAGTCATCCCTATATAGGATCCGAACCCGCGGCGGGAGCGCTGCTGCGCTCCCAGTGCCGCACTCTCCTGAGTGTGCCACGGGCTCAGCCAGAGAGCTGATTGTTTAAAGGACCCTGGCACCTCCTCTCTCTCTCTCTCTCTCTTGCTTCCTCTCGCCATGTGATCTGCCTGTACCCACCAGCTGCCTGCCACTTTCTGCCATGAGTAGAAGCAGCCTGAGGCCCGTGCCAGACGCAGCTGTCCCAGAATCATAAG